GGTGGACGGGTGGAGGGGTGGGTGGGTGGATGGATAAACAGACAGACAGAGAGACAGACAGACAGACATATGTCTCCTAGTATCTGACATAAACAGACACTAAGGGAAAAAAATACTGTTAGGCTCTCAAGGCTGCTTCATGCAAACAAAAGTATGAAACCACGCAGAAGACAGTAAGTGAAGCTCATTCCCAATACAAAATCAGCCCTATGATGTAGAGATGTTTCCCACCATTCTGGGAGAGGAGCTAAAGAGCAAATAAGCTGGACCAGGGCTGTGTATCCCATTTTCCTAATTCTTTGCCTTTCAAGATTATTTGAAGGTATTTTGTTACTTTTTGAAGCCTTGTCCTACCTGCCACTGTGTCATTGCCATATCCTGAAATACCAGAATTGTGGAATGGGAGGCTGTCAGTTCCACCTCAGTGGGAGGAAAGAACAGAGAATTAATCTAGAAAATGCTTGGATGTAGATAAGGGCTGAGAGACAGTTCCTGTCTTCTGACAAAATATTTGGTGTATGGCAAACATTGAAGGGAGGTGTTACTGCAGTCATTCCAGACCTCCTAACACGTACTTTTGTAGACCAAGATGTGTGCCACACTCAGTCTATGCTTTTTAGTCTTTGGATGTCTTTAAAAAGCCTGCATTTTAAGTAAAGGCATGTGAATGCCTGTCATCAAAACAATTTTAAAAGGCAAAAGCTTGACATGGTAAAACACATTGACACATCGGGCTATTAAATTAATTCATTGTCCTAAATTTGAGACAATTATATTGTCTGCGAGATCACAGTTTTAATTCATTTCTTTTTCTGGTCTGCAGAGGCTGTTCTACACCCTTTGTTACTTCACAATGAATCTTTCCATCAGAGAATGAAGACCTCATCTGCTTCCCAAATCATTCTGGGAGTGCTCTTTTCCAAAAAGAACACAGAGAACACACCAACCTTCTGGTTTGGGTCTGCCAAGCAGCTTCATGACCTCAGCCTGGGTTGGATTTTGCCCCAGAGCTCTCAAGACATCTCCACATTGTGCATATGTGATTTTCATCTCAGATTTAGGAGTTCGGTCGAAGAGTGAGAAGGCTTCCTTAAATTCTGGAAAATAAGAACAGGAAAAGAAGGGCATGTTATGCTGCCTCAGATAAAACCAAAGCAAGCCCAGACCTTCCCCCTGACTAACTCTGCCCGACCCTTTTATTTTGAAGTTTGGGAACGAGTTTGATTGGCTTTGTTCTTGCTGTTATCTCCAATGTTTGTGTTCCTCCTCCCCTGCGTTTCCCAGTTCAGGCAGGGAACGGATCTGGAGAGGTCAAATGTTCTTCTCGTGGTATTTCCGTCCCAGAAAAACTTGTGGAAATGGTTGGCCTTGAGAGCTTTCCAGCTCATCAGGAGCACTCAGGGTGGCACAGAATTCAATAGCAGCTAACTGGGTATTGTGTTCAGCACTGAACACTGACAGAGCACTGAGACAGCCCACTGGGATAAAGGAGCACCTCTGTTAGCAGATAACAGGATATGCCATGATAACCTACAGGAATTATCACACAACCAAGAGTCTACTAGTGGGAGAGGGTGAAAGTATATGCAACATCTTATCATTGACTAATTGTTGTATTTAACAGTGCCAATGAGCAGATCTGGATGAATCATCTTCTTTTTCTTTTTACTAGCACCCAGTCCCATTCCATCCGGACAAGTAAGGTTTGATATCCCATCAGCTACCAATTTCAGGTCAGATATCATGTGTGGAGATGCAATCATTCTCTCCAGTGGTTTCACATCTGCCTGCTTTCCCCTGTGCACTCATGCAGAGCCCTTGCAAGGCAACCTCTGCTCACCTCCACTGTATCCTTGTGAACATATCCTCAGGTCTTGTCTTCTGGCTGAACAGTGAGTCCCTGACCACTGTGAGCAGCAATAGTTTGACAAGATCATTCCCATGGGAGAGGGTGCTTGATCTACCACTAATGAATGGAGTCAGTGCAGGATGCCAGGGTAGACTTCCCCAGACACTAGTTACTCAGCTTTGCCTCTCCCTGCTGCAGCTGCAGACACATGGCAGAGCCAGAGGAGCATCTCGGGGTGCAGGCAACAGTACCAGGCTGTTATCCTTTAATGAACACACATCCCCTTGGCTGCAAAGCCCTGGATATGCCCCTTCTCCTGCTGTTACTCTTCTCTACAAGTTTCCTTCCTTCTCTCCAAACAGTGTGGTTACTTTTTTTCCCCTGTAGCTCCTGACTCAACCATCCAGCCGTGCACTTTGCACAACAGTTTTTCTCCATCTTTCCCTTCTCAGTTCCTTCTCCTACTGAATATTCCTCCTCCCTCTTTTTTTTTCTTCTTTCTTCTCCTTTGCTTATTTTGCTCTGTCCTTCTTTCTTCTAGTGTTGCTAGTTTTGCCTCTCTCCTTATTTTTATCATTCCACTCATAACTTACTCATTTCCTTCCTCATCCAACACTTTCATATAAGGCTGTGTTTTCTCATTTCGGGCTAAATAACACTCCACTCTAACACTTCTTTTCTTCTTTGCTTTTTCCTCTTTGCTGTCTCTTTCTTTCTCTCCCTGCCTCTTTCTCCTGGATCTTTCTCTCCTCTGTCACCAGCTGGAACCCAGGTCCCATTGGCAGCCCTCACTCCAGCAGAGGGCAATAGTGGATTTTCATGGGCTCCTTCCTGACAGTGGAAGGGGGGCAGAGCCCCACTCCCAGCTCTGCCTTTTCCTGGGGGTCTCAGCAGCTGAGGTGGATGAGAAACACACCTACCTCCCTGAGCTACTCATCCACATGCTTCTCACCTGGTCCTGGACAACAGTTGCCTGTGCACCCTTCCCACCATCTCCTAAAGGTTCACAATCCATCACAGTCCCTGACAGCTCATGCTTCTCTTTTTTCTTTTTTTAATATTAAATCAAATGTAACTGCCTTTCACCAGAGCATTGGCCTGTGGGTTTGGAAACCCCATCTTGTCAATATGCAGAAGTGGCCTGTTTGGGGTTTTTTTCTACATTTGCATTTGAGTTTGCTGGCTTCATGCAAGTTTCCATCAAAGCAACAAACCAGCCTGGTTATGGTCTCCTCTGTCCTCCTAGCCATTAAACCACTGGCAGGAGCAGTGTATATTTTCATAGGCCTAATTGCTACCTATCTTCTCATCTTGAATAGCTCTTATTCTTCTCTTTTCAGCAATTTAGGGGGCTGAAGAGGCCAGGAATCCAGTTTCATAAATACACATTGCCACAACCGATGACTTTCACTCCCAGTTGAGGCAGGAGGACATGCAAAGATGGATGTGTCCACGTGGCTTCACCAACAGACAATTCCTCTCTTTCTGTCACGGATCTTTTGGGGCCCAACATAACACTGAATCCTTGCAGGGAGGTAAGTCTGGCACAGCAAAGTCTCTTCCTTAGCAGGAGGGTTCAGAGTATCATGGAATCACAGGATGTTTTGGGTGGGAAGGGACCTTAAAGGTCAGCTAGTTACAACCCCACTGCCAGAGGCAGGGACCCTTCCCACTAGGTCATGTTGCCCAGAGCTCCATCCAACCTGCCCTTCAACACTTCCAGGGATGGAGTAGATACAACTTCTCTGGGCAACCTGTGGCAGTGTCTCACCACCCTCAGAGCAAAGAATTTCTCCCTAATGTATCATCTAAATTTCTTTTCCGGGCAACCTGTGACAGTGTCTCACCACCCTCAGAACAAAGAATTTCTCCCTAATGTATCATCTACATTTCTTTTCTTTCAGTTTAAAATTGTTCCCCCTCATCCTATTGCTCCATTCCCTTGTAAAACGTCCCTCTCCAGCTTTCCTGCAAGGCCTCCTTCAGGTAACTTCTAGGTATCTTAGAAGATAAGGCTGGACAAAACTTGGAGATGTTGCCTTTTCTCTGTTTTCTCCACCACCTCAACTCAGAGTCAGCTGTCAGAAAAGCAACTGGGCTCAATGAGAACAGGCTGGGGATAGATGTTACTGACAGGCAGTTAATATCTATCACATAGAATCAATTTTCAATTGATCTAATTTCAGCTGACAAATGTGGAAGGATCTTGTCTCACTGAGACACTTAGGTCCTCATCTGGACAACAGAGAGAGAGGTGGTTATTATACATTAGAGGTCTGGTTTTTAAAAAAACAAACCAAACCAAACACATATAAAGGTATTACAGGTGACCTTGATCTCCTTATGGCTCCATGGAAGAGGCCATTTGACAAAATTAGCAGTGCAGTGTGGACCTGAAAATGAATCCAGAATAAAACAAGTGCAACCAAAACCCAGAAGAAATGAAGAGCTGACAATCTTGGAAACTTGAAGAATGGGAAGGAGAAAACAAATAAAAAAGATATATTAATATAGAACTCCTGTGAATCCCAACTCTTGAGTCATGCCAACAGCCACTATAACAGCTATAAATCATGGCAAGTGGTGTTTGCTTTCCAGCATGTGCTTTTAAGATGAAATAAAACAGTCCCAAGCACTGGAATACTGATTATCCACTTTCTTGAACTGGTAGCACACTTCTTGGCAAGGGTTTGACATGTGCAAACCAGTACAAAGGACAACCTGTACCAGGGACAATCCAGGAACAACTGTGGACCATGATGCAGATATAAATCTACATCTGAAGAATCTAAGCTCCCCTTCACTGTAAATATCTTTCCAATGCCTATCAATCTGTCTGCCTAGGAATCTAGGAACATTTTAAAGGTCAGGTGAAGGAAAGAGAAGAAAGGAACTAGAAGAGGCCAGGAGGAAAGGACTTGAGAAGCTGATTGAAGAGCAGTGATCAGTCCCCAGATGATGCTCAGGTCAGTCTTGCCAGGAACTCCTGGCAGAACCTGTGAGCCAAGTGTGGGATTAACCTGGAGGGGATTTAATGTTCCTTCCCAGTGCTAGCACAGAGCATGACTCCACTGTGCTGCTGTAGCTGGTGTGGATGTCTCACAGCCTTTCTCACACAGATGATGTTATCTGCTTCCTGTCCCATGGCTTTCCCTTTGATATTTCAAGACCATCCTATTTCACAAGTCTTGGATTCCCTGTGTTTCTGTGTATGCTTTTCTGTACAGCTAGACCAGCAGGCAGCTGTAAGAAGAAGAAAAGGAAGATGGTGCAAGTTTCTGCTTCTTAAGATGGTCTACCTCTGCTCTAGACCTGCTACCTTTTATGGCAGTCCTGGGGTTGCTCCAAATTTGTCATTTTCTAGCTATCCCAATGGGCTGATGGCCAGACAAGCACCTCATTTTCATATTATCATTTTTTTCTGGACAAATCTTTTCCCATTCTCTTCTACAGTCTCAAGAGCTACTTCTCCTCAGCAAGAGGGGAAACAAGGTATAGAAACTAGGTGAGTATTATCTGATCTCCGAAACATTGACTGAAGAGACATCCAACTGGTGTGTGCTGCTGGAATAGTTCAAAGTTTGGGGCTCAGAATTGTGCCTCTTCTACAGTTCTCCCTTTACTTTGGGACTGGAAAAAAAGGTAGATTCTCAGAAACTAACAGTTGCCTCTAATCATGAGTTACTACTTCTGACCTGTTTTTCTAAAATAGAAACTAAAGCTTGAAGGGGGCTTGAAAATCCTCATGTAATGTTGGAAGTCTGTGGCAAATCTTCAATTTCGAAGATATTATGGCATTTGGTTCCAGTTCTGAAAATCCTTTTTTCTCTACCTCTCCTCTCTGAATCAGCCTGACTGGATGGCTTGTAATTGCTGCTTTTTTTTTTCATTGGTTCTCATTAACCCATTTTCTGATACCATCTTTCATAGGCTCTACCAAGTTCTGCCAAGTGTTTAAAGACCAAAGCAAAATTCAATTACATGTTGGACTCCAACCATCAATTATCCCATAAAGTCAAAAACAGGCTGGTAGTTGAGGAAAGAGGGGACAGCTGCAGGGATAATGTTCCCAGGACTTCATCCATGAGGTTTCAGTCTCAATTTCTTGGGCTGGGACAAAGATGTCAGAAAGTAATGCTGATTTTTTGCTTTGAATTTTTTGTTGTTGGTTTTTGTTGTTGTTGTTTTAAAAAAAAAGCCATCACTGTCATTACTTCTGGTTTCTGAAGAGCTGTCACAAAACTGTAAAGTTGTAACTCATTAAATCCTGATTGAACACAGGAGCTGTGAGACTTCTCTGGAAAGGTTTGGTATTTTGTCAGTGGGTTTTCTTATAGAAAGAGTGTATATTTGGACTGAAGCTTTTGGCCATGTTTTTTCCTGTTTGTTTTGCTTTGGTTTGTTTTTTTCTGCTCTTGATTTTGCTTCATTATCAGAGAAGCTGATGTTTCCCTTAATGAAATAAATACCTTTTCTGCACAGTGAGGGGCTTTTCCCCTTTTCATTTGACCAACACAACAGAGGATTTGGAGGAGGGATGGAGCAAGAGCAAAACCATGTATTAAACTTGAATGAAACATGAACTTCCTTCTCAAGGGAGCTCCAGTACCACCCTAGTGTCCACATCAACACCTGCCAGCACCTCCCAGTGATGGTGTTTGCTGTGCACAGAAGAGAAACACATCTTCCTCACCTTCAATCTGATCAGGGGTGAATTCAACCTGAAAGAGACAAAGAATAAAAGCCAGATAAAGCCAGAAAACTGAAACAAATAAGAGCCACACTGGGTTAGTCTCTTTCTTATAGGTGTTTGTGAGGTTCATGAAGGAGACTGACTCATAATTCCAATAAAATGATTTTACAGCACCTGGACACGTTCCTGTGTGATGTGCTCTGGCTGATCCTGCCCTGGCAGGGGGGTTGGACTGGATGATTTTTCAAGGTCCCTTCCAATCCCTAAGATTCTGTGGTTCTGTGATCTGACTTAGGAGAAAGAAGAACCAGAAAACATCTGGTGGACTTGGAAGGCAGCACTCAACACTAGTCCTGCAACTGTTGAAAATTAAGCCACTATTTTTTTTGTGTCTGTCCTGTTCAATCTTATCTGAACTAGCTCATTCAGGGCATTACCACTGGGTTTGCAATTTTCAGTCACCACTTGCCTTGAGTGAAATCCAATCAATAAAATAGTCACCCAAGAGGCAGCCAGGAGGCTGGCTGGAAGGAGGCATTCAAAGAATGCAAGAAAGGAGCCCCCAGAAGAACAGTAATGCTCTTCCCTTTCCTGACGTGTGGAGTGGTCCAAACTCATCTTGTCAGGAAGGTTATAATAATCTAGATTGAGTCCTAGCCCAAATCCACATTCCATAGATTAATTACAAATAAATACCCATCAGGGAACACGTTTATACAGGTGCATTATCAGCAGCAACCTTGTGCTCAGTGTGCTTAATTGTATCAAGCTTGTGACTGGAGAATGTGACTGGAACTAGATTGGGTTTATTCAGGCATCAATAACCACTGTGAGTGCAATAAAGCCAGAGCTGCTGGCCACTTGTATATAAATCAGTATCATGGCTTGCTCTTGGGGAAGAACTCATCTCAGCTACACTTAGATGTAAACATTCATGTCCATGACCTCACATTTTCTTTATACCAGGTAGAAGGGAATGGGCACTTCTGGGTGTGATTTGAACTGCCTTAGGTCCATACTTGGAGAGAAGATGAGTTATGTTCTCCTTTTCACTGAGTGGATCAATCAGTTCTTCTAACTCAAATAAAAAGAGTGGGGGTAACTAACACGGGTGTAGATGTCCCTTTCTGCTGAGTCTCACCCAGCTGTGGGCTAACTCTTTGGCAGACTGCAAGCCAGGAGAAATTGTATCAGAGCAAAAAAAAAAGGATGGCTGTAAATTCCCACAGCTGGATCAAAAGAGAAGTTTTGAGCTGAAGGGCTGAGCATGCCTCACCTTTAATTATGGACCCTATAAAACCACCACCCAGAGCTGGGGGGCCCTGTGTGACAGCTGGCAAGGCCGTGGCAGATGGTTTGCCCAGACTTACCACCCAGGCATGGCTTCCTCTCAGGAAAGCTGCTGAGATGTGTGGGTGGTGGCTGCTGCTGTTTTCTCCCCTCTCAGCACAAACCACCACGGAGTTGTAGGGGAAGGGGAGTCACCATTACAGCCACAAGGTATCATTGAAGATGGATGGAATGAACTTTGGACTATATTTAGACTGAAGATGGCTGAGGTTTGGGTTTTTTTCCTTTCTCTCTCCCTCAGAATGGTGAGAAATACACAAAACCAATGTCATCCCTGGTGCCCCTGAAGCCCAGACCCACTCCTGCCCCAGGCACTTACACCACTGCACACCAGCATCACACCAGACTTCACTGAGCTCTCTCAGCACCTTCTCACCTGAAGCAGGAGGCTGAAACACCTGCTCCCAGCTTCAATGTCAATTTGCTTTCCCAGATATGGCTCTACATTCTCCAGTTCCTAGTCTAGAATTCCTTCCTTTGGGGTTTCATTTCTCTGTTTGTTTGTTTGTTTGATAGTTTTAAATATACTAGCACTTCACGAGAATTGACTTTCCCCTGGCATTTTTTCTGTTCCCTGAGGTTGCAGGGAATATTTGGGACAAACAAGGAACAAGGAACAAGCAAGGACATTCCTATGAGTGCCCAGCACCCACAACACCAAGGCTCACAGTGGTGGTGGTTGACAGAAAGTCACGTAAGAAACAGCTGCTGATTGCTAATTTCTTCCTACTTGTCTCCTGCCCTGATGTGTGGACTGTGCTACGTGTCCTTTGAAGGCACCAGGCATCTGAATTGAAATCTTTCCATAACAAACAAAAAGTGTTATGCCAGCTTTCCTGCTGTCTTAGGAGTCATGGCTTTAGGGGATCATCACCTGGTGACCGGTGACATCAACTGTAGCCCTAATGCAGCATTCCTCTTTGTCTAAACAAAGGCATGAAGCTGCTTCTGTCCCAGAGGCCCCAGGAGGGATGCACACACCCCTTGTCAACGTCATTCACAGCTTCATATCTCAGGGAATTTTCTCTATTAAACCCTTAGTATCTCCATCAAGCACATAACTCCATGCGTGATAAGTCGGACACAACAAAGCCTGAAACAAGTCCTATTAATAAAACTGTTGCCAACCAGCAGTCAGGAGCTCTTCTGGGGAGAAGTATTTAGACAATGCAAGCAAGGAGCCCTTCCAGAAAAGAAACAATATTCTACTTGTTTCATGGTATTCTGAGGAATCCTAATTCAAAGAGCAAGGTTCTCACTGAGCCATGGCAGGGCTAGTTTTGAAGAAGGAGGAGGGGTTTATTTTTATTGTGCTCTTGGCAGACTGATTTAGCAGGCAGAAATGCAGCAGATGGGAAAAGACCCAAAAGGCCAGCAAGATCAGTATCATGTTGAGATTGCATTTGTATTCCATAGCCATGTGGGTTTTTCCACTAAGACCCTTTTAAACATATTAATACACATCATCCCCATCATCCCTTCTCCCAGTTTTTTTTTGTGCAGAGCAATCGTGAGGTACATAAACTCCTCCACTGCCCATGGGCAAACCTTGACCAAGTCTCTTACAGTTCCAACCCTTAGTTTGATGGTCAATCCTGATCTCTCATCTCCTTTGCCTTCTGAAACTTTTGTTATACCTACATTTGGGTCCCAGGGTTGCCCTGAGGACTTCCTTCATTATTTCTACTCAGCTCATGGTCTGATGGGAGGGAAGGTGGGGTACAGCATACAGACACTTGACTGGCATGTGTGGAGAATGGATCAAAAACAGTTCAAAGGAGAAGGACTTGGGGGTGATGGTGGACAAGAAGCTCAACATGAGCCAGTAATGTGCACTTCCAGCCCAGAGAGCAACCATGTCCTGGGCTGCATCAAAAGCAATGTGGCCAGCAGGGCCAGGGAGGGGATTCTGCCCTTTTACCCAGTTCTCATGAGACCCCACCTGGAGCACTGTGTCCAATTCTGGAGTCCCCAACGTAAGAAGGACATGGAGATCCTGGAGGAAGTCCAGAGGAGGGCCACAAAGATGATTAAAGGGCTGAAGAAGTTCTGATCTGGAGACAGGCTGAGAGAGTTGAGGTGTTCAGCCTGGAGAAGAGAAGGCTCTGGGGAGACGTGAGAGCAGCTTCCAGTGCCTGAAGGGGCTCCAGGAAAGCTGGGGAGGGACTTTTGAAAACGGTTTGTTGTGAGAGAACGAGGTAATGGATCAAAACTGGAAGAGGGAAGATTTAGGCCAGACATTAAGAGGAAATTCCTCACTATGAGGGTGGTGAGACAGTGGAACGAGTTACCCAGAGAAGCCGTGGCTGCCCCATCCCTGGAAGTGTTCAAGGGCAGGTTGCATTGGGCTCTGAGCCACCTGACCTAGTGGGAGCTGTCTCTGTCCATGTAGGGGTTTGGAACTAAATGAACTTTCAGTTCCCTTCCAACTCAAACGAGTCTGTGATTCTATGACTATGTGAGCTGTGACACACACAGTACAAGAGGTTGCACCCAGTCTTCATGTGAACAGCTAAAATACAATGAACATTTTGCAAGACAGAAACCCAACCATAAAACTCTTCTGATAATCTATTTTTCAGTTTTGTCACCAGTGCTTGCAGAAGAAAAAGTACTTCAAGATGGTCTGAAATGACAGATAATTATGGAATGACAGAAAATACAGTGTCTGGGAGTCAAAGAGAGAACAGAATTGTTGACTTTTTATGATAGCTAACTATACCAATAAGGAAAATGAAGTGGCAATAGGAATCAACCATTATTTTCAGCTGAGTTGGTGAAGCTTTTCATTAAAAATAATGTACTTCAAGATCAGAAAAAAATGAGGCAAAATCTTTATCAAGGTCATGCAGAGGATGCTGTTACATAACCACTTTTTTCTCCAGCCTGCACTCTTTTCCATGACAAAATGTTCATTTTGAATCTTTCTTTTATCTGGGTTTCCTGAGAGCTGAATAATTTCAGCAGAGTATCTCCACTGTTCCTATTATCACTTCAGCCTTATGGGTTTCTGGTCCCTACTTTAGTTTGGAATAAGCATGGATGAGTTCTGTCATGTTTTGATTCACCTTGTCCCTTAAGAAGTGGACACAAAAATCTTGTGTGAATGAGCAGTGTCTGGTTTGGGGGTAGGAAACACTGCTTTGGGTCTCAGAGCCATTCCATGTGATATTCCTAGGTGGCAACAAAGCTAGAGAGGGTGAGAGCTGAACTAGGTGCATTGCACTGAATGTGGACTGGTGGGAGGTTCCACATCCATGGCAGGGGGGTTGAAACTAAATTATCTTTAAGGTCCCTTCCAATCCAAACCATTTGATTATGCTATGATGGGCAGGTGAAGGACTGTGGAGGCATTAAGAAATGGATCTGGGGAACCCATGATATTCCTACCCCAAAGAAAGAAATGCAACACAATCCTGGACTTCAACACCTCAGTCTAAACCTGCTCAGCTCTACTATTGTGCTCTGAATTGCCCCTGAGTGAGGAACCACAGCCTGAGAAGTCCACAGGGCACAGGTTCAGCTTTGCACTTTGTAGGCAGCTTGTCCACTCAAAGCAACCTCACCTTTGGTGCTGGTGCTCTGCATCTTCAGAGTGTTGGGTGACAGTTCCCTGGCAGTGCTTCACATGCCCTTGCTTCTTGCTTTCCTTCTGGGGCTGAAGGAGCAGTGTTCTTT